GCTGACCAGTACCAGGAAATAAAACCACCGATATATCCTGTAGAGGGTGAGTTGACAGTACGAGATATGAGTGAGTGGGGACTTGCCTATAATGGGTACAATGGCTTTCGCCACTGTAAGTACGGCTTGCAATTCCAGAGGTAAGCCAGCAGTTGGTATGTGGTTCACCAGCCATCCCAATGCAGTTGAAATGATGGCAACTCGTTTGACGGCCTCTACGGATTTGTCGTCGAGAACTTTCACGACCGGTTCTGGTAGCCAGCTACACAAAGAAAGAGATCATGAGCTCATCCAGTAGATAAATCACGATGTACTCACATCCGGAAGCCCCACCACGCAAACTGGACTGATACCTGTGTTGTACTTGGTATCCACACTCTTACGGTTTTCGTAGGAGGGGTCTGCAGGCTTTGGTTTCTTTCCCCACTCCCATGGTGGCCACCAGGATGCTGCATTGAGACTCTGTTTGTCCAAATCATCAAGCGGCACTTTTACTAGGGTGAAATCCGCCAATTCGACCTTGGAATTTTCGTCTGGGAACAATGGTGCACACAACATGATGGAGCTATCTGGCTGTAGCTCATCAAAGGTCGTAATGCTATCACCTGATGCGGCATGAAGGTTGGATTTAAAGCTAAAGGCGGTACGGTCTAGGATTGACCATACGGATTCCTGGTTAGATGTCCCGGCCATGAGGGTTTGATTGGATAAGAGTTGCAAAAACTGTGCTCCCTGTAGTGCATCTTCGATCCCCACCTCTTTCGACGGTGTTCCATTTGGCTGTTTGGAGGCGATTAAAGTGGTTGGGTAGAATGGCGGAGATGAAGTGAGGAGATCCCTGACACGCTTCGCCACATCAAGCGGTTTCACCCCATCTCTATCGTCTTGACCACCCTCCGTGGTTGCTGCAGCAAGATCAGCATTGGCCTCATCGACCGGTTCTGAGAGCGCGTTCGTGATAGGGGAACCCTTCTTGTCTTTGCGGTCATTTCCGAGCTTCTTGAGTTTGTCCACGATACTAGTCCGTCGTTTGCCAGAACTAGGTGAGACTGGTAACGAAACTTCTTCAGCTACAGGTGACTGCGGTTGCAATTCAGGTTCAGCTTGCTCTGCACGTTCATCGGGAACGGTAAGTGCTATACTTGTCTGTCGTTCTAGGCTCTGGTCTCCCTCTGCAATGGGTGTCGCTATTTCTGTCGTTGTTTCTGGTGATGAAACGGAGACCTTGGATCGAGAAGCTTTCTTTAACAGACGCTTAAGAGGATGAGCTGCTGGCTTGGGGGGTTTCACGACGTCCGCCATCGCGCTCTCCAGCGTTGCCAGTGGCCAAGGGCGGGCAACTTGCCACCGTAGCCCAGATTTGGATTCTTGCCATAGACGCCTTCACTGCGTATATTCTGATTATGCGCTTTCAATCAATGTACGTATAGGGCCCAGTTT